TACACTTGCCCTTACTGAATTTCATGGGCAGCTTGAGATACAAGCACCCTGATGTTATGCAACTGAGTTTCATCTGAAAACTAGAACTGAGAGGAATCCAGAGCTCACTTTAGAAAGCATGTTCTTTTTCCATGGTAATGGCACTTCATGAATAACTGGGCTATCAGTTACTGACTTTCCTCATCTATGCGCAAAGTCCTCCAGTGACCCAGGCAAGAAACAAAGTCCTGCATCCTGCTGAGAAGCACACCATGGAGTTCAGCACCAAAAGAGGAATGGCTGCGACAATTGAGTGAAGGAGGGCAAGCACAGGTTAAGACAGAATGGAAAAGGGAGTTTATCTAGGGAAAAGGCAAGCACAGCTGAGGGAAAGCAAGGAAGGAAAAACTCCCTTCTGTCCTTGTGTGGAGTTCCTGAATAACTACATGTGAAACAGAAGAAATGTCAAGTCCATTTGTCTCAACTAATGCCCCAAACAAGATCTTTCACCAATTACACCTCTTCTGTACCAGATCAGGTTTTCCTCAGTCATCCTCTGCTCGCATCACTCTGAGCTCCCCCCACCAGGAGCAGAAAGCCAGCCCTTACCCAGAGAGGGTCAGACATCTGCTGTACTTCTGTTACTGATCACTGCCAGGACCACGCTATTTAGATTACCTGTTAAAGACTTACACACTTAAATTCTTTCACTTTCTTTCCAATGACTTGGAAGGCTTATTTTAATGATCAAAACAGCTAAGGAAGAGAGGATATCAGAGATCTGAAAGCAATGGCAGGGCCTGCAGGAACCATGCCCTAACTATCCGGAGCAGAGCCCAGCTTCCACCCACAGTCACAAAGCTCTTACCAGCACGTCGTTGCCTCGCACCAAAAACTGAACGTTGAAGGGACCAGAGATGGCAAAGGCATTGGCAATCTTCTTTGTAGCGTCTTTTACCTACGAACATAAATAAAGTGAAAATATTTATTTATTTATAATATATGCATACACAAGTCCCACAGAACAGACAGCATCATGGCAACACATCACCTCACACGTGGATTCCTTTGTGTGTCACATATCTCTGCCCTAGCATTTTTTTTTAAAATATCGCAACATTTTGGCAACAGCATTATCTTTCAGAAGCAAACACGTTTAATTTGCCTGGTAATCTAGAGCTCAAAGTGCCATTTGAGGACAGTAGTAAGAACACAGCTTTGTGTGCGTGTGAGAAAGCAAAGGAAAAAGAGCTAAAGACAGAGACTGAAAACTTGCCCTGTCCATAACAATCCCTACGCTGCCTGCTGGAGCCTTTACACCTTTCTTGGTGAAATAATGACTAATGATGTTTTGCCATTTGAGACTCTCTACTTGGTTTTACGAGGGTTCCAAGTCTTTCAACAACACGCCCGCCCCATCACAGATCAGCGGGAGGCACACCAGCAGAAATACTCTGGAAGAAACTGGGAGAAAACACTATGGAGTCTTATTTTCTAGGTTTGCCAAGAAATCACATGCCATTTCAGCACCAGTGTTTGAATAGCTTTGCTCCAGGAGATGACCGTTTTCAGAAACAAGGCCTTGGACGTTCTTGTGGAGTTGGAGCACAGGCCATTATATTACAGCTCTTGTTAACTTCCAAGCAAATCCTTTCCAGGAGGATATCACAGTGCATTTCACTTAGAAAATGCATTTTGACAATTAACTCTGTATCACTAGGCTTATTCCTGAAAAGGGAAAAAGTTTAGGTAAGGTTGATTCATCCTGATATCTTTTCCAGAAAAGGCAGGCAGCTGGAACGTCATACACCTGATCTAATCATTTAAGGATTGTGGGAAAGGAGGAAATGGGAAGTGAACTGGGGCATTTATATGAATTAGACACTTTTCTACTGCTATGGTTGCTGGTCCCGAACCGATGTAACAAAAAATCCAATGGGTCTGCCAGCGTGGACATCTACTGCTTAAATTAACGGGATACAGTTCAGATGACCCATGTGCAGTATAGCACGAGGGGTGCAATACCATCGTACATCTGCAAACATCACGCTGGCCTTTAAAAACACTGGCGCTGTGAGTTCTCCGTTGGTGACCGAGTTCTCCCAAGCAAAGAGGGGAAGCAGACTCAAGCTCTCATGTCCTTTTCTCTCTTCAGCGCTAGTGCAACACGTACCTTCTCCAAGGCTCCCTGGCTAATAGTCTGTGTGGGTAACATGAGGGTGGCATCTCCCGAGTGAACGCCCGCATCCTCCACGTGCTCCGAAACAGCATGTGAGACGACCTGCGCCCAGTAACGAGACAGCAGTTAGTCACCTCGCCTCCGCTCACGCACTGTCCACCCGCCTCCACGCGCTCCGCTAAGCACAGCCCGGCAGTCCCCTGCACAGACACCTCTCCCAGAGGGGACGCAGCCAGGGGAAAAAGGGAATCACCCAACACGCTTGGGAGGCTCGGCCTGAAGCAGACACAAGGCGTATGAACATGGCATCATGTCAGTGTCTTTCACACTGCAGCTAAGCAAACTGCGACCGTGATAAAATTAAACACCAAACTACGAACATGATAAAACCCACCACGGTCTGAAGATCCTAAAGCTTCCTTCCTCTCTCAAACATACATAACCTCAGAGGTAAAAGCTAACTGGGCTTTAAACCATCTCTCCAAGTTCTCTTGCCACAAACACAAAAAAGTTGTCATTCCCCAACAGAAACAAGTACAGACTAGCGTCATCAGTATTTTTTTTTCCTCCCATTCTTTTGTGGTGTTTTAATCAAGCAGAAAGGCAGGCAGGGGAAATTCAGGCCTAAGGATTTACGCTGAATGAATTGCATCAAGGTGAGCTACCTTGATACCAAAAAAGTGACCTTGTCTGATGGCTAAAAATGAAGACTGAAAACAGAATATTTCTGTTAAATGAGAGCTTTGTGACTTTTGGTGAGAACTGTCTGTGGTTAGCAATGAAATGCAATGTGAAGCTGTAATAATAAAACAACTGTGGTAATAGCATAACTCACTGTGGCGGGTTTGTGTGGCAGGGTTTTGGGAGCCAGGTAGAGGCCACAGGGGTGGCTCCTGTGAGAAGCTGCTGGAAGCTCCCCAGTTCCAAGTCAGACTCACTTCTGGCCATGGCCGAGACCATTAGCACCTCTGTGATTAGTATATTCCCCCCGCAGCCCGTGGTGAGAGGGCAGGCTGTGCCCTGCAGCCATGGAGGGTCATGGGCGGCAGAGACCCCCTGCAGCCTGGGGAGAACCCCACACTGGAGCAGGGGGATGCCTGTAGGAGGCTGTGACCACCTGGGAAGCCCACACTGGAGCAGGCTGCTCCTGAAGAACTGCACCCCACGGAAGGGATCCACACCAGAGCAGTTCAGGAAGAGCTCCTGTCAGAGAAGTTGGTGGAGGACTGTCTCCCGTGGGAGAGACCCCAGGCTGGAGCAGGGGCAGAGCGTGAGGATCCTCCTCGGAGGAGGAAGCGGCAGAGACAGCGTGTGATGGGCTGACCCCAACCCCCATTCCCTGTCCCCCTGCGCTGCTGGCAGGCAGGAGGGAGAGAAATGGGGAGCAAAGCTGAGCCCGGGAAGAAAGGAGGGGTGTGGGAAGGGGTTTTAAGATCTGGTTTCATCTCTCATTGTCCGACTCTGATTTGATTGGTAACTAATTAAATTGATTTTTCTTCCCCAAGTCGAGTCTGTTTTGCTCGTGACCATAACTGGGGAGCAATCCCCTGTCGTCCTTGTCTCGCCCCACCAGCCTTTCCTGATATTTTCACACCCCCCACACCACCGGGGCTGGAGCGAGCAGCTGCGCGGTGCTGAGCTGCCGGCTGGGCCTAAACCATGACACTCGTGCTGATACAATCCTGACAAAAGTAACTTGTGAAGCCCGTGATTTGTGAATCCAGTAAAAATCACTCTAAAGGATTCAACCACATGGTTAAGCAATGCTTAACAAAAATATTTACATGTATACAATAAGGTAGGTTGTGCTTTTCAAGCATGATGTTTTGAACCTAAGCTGAATTGATCTTTTCTTGTTTCTCTACTCTTCTCAGCACAAATCCATGGCTGTATAGTTAAGTCATTCAAACCACGCACTTTTGCAAATTTCTGATCCTGAAAAAAAGTTTAATATTAAAGAACAGCAAAGTTCTTACCCTTCCTGCCTTGGCCACAGCATCCATTTCCACCTCACGGGCATCTTCAATAAATTTAGTGAGTACCACAGGGTGATCCTGTCATCAAGACAAGACAAAAGGAGAAAATTTTTATCTGAAGATATTTGGGGACCATCCAATCACTCTGCCATTCATCACTGGAAAAGCTTTGGAAGCAGAATCTCACAAGACCGATCTATTCATATCCCTGTGTCCACAGATAAGTGAACTTCGGGCAGATCATGCCAAGTTTCCCTCATCATTTCTTTGCAAAGCCACTGATGCATTAGTTTGGGTCCTCCATAATGTCACCGTGACAGGGAAATCTGGGGCAAAACCACAAAGAACTTTTAGGTGAGACCATTGTAGAAAGAAGACAGTGGGACACATGCATTGATTCAGTGACCTCTGATCCTGTCTCTCAGAGATGTTCCTTACCTCCACGATCTTCAATTCTTCCTTCCTCTGTGCCTCCCAGTCACCTCACAGGACATACTGCTTCACAGGGTAATTGATTCTTGGAATACTTGATGACTTTGTATAGTGGCTGTTTGCCACTTTAAAGTCATATATTTTAGGCAACAGATGTATTCCTTTCTCATTTCTCTGCCTGGTTTCCTAAGTCTCCCTGGGGGAAGTTACCACTAATTATAGCTGGCCAGGAATAACCTGTCCTTGACTCTCAATACATTCCCTGGTATACATGGTTTTCCTTCCTCTCCTTCCTACTTCTCTCTGGGATGCTAGCACACACTCCCCACCCTTTAATGCCTTTTCCTTTCAGTCACCTGCTCCAACAAAAGGTTAAAAACCTTATCCACATTCTTCCAGGCCAGCTTTATGTCTCAACATTTTACCTGTCCCATCCACTATTAACTGCCTGTTATTTATTGGAGAATAAAATGGAATAAATGACAGTCTGTGCATGCTCAAAAGGCTCCTCTTGAAAAAATATAAAGCAACTCCAGAAGTTACAAGACACAATTCCTTACATTTATCAGCACAAGGGTAAATTCACCAGCAAGGACAATGCCGCAGCCTACACCATTTCATAAATCTAGTGGCTTGTGTCCTGTAACTTTCTGTCTTGCTGCAGTTTTTCACCAGAAGATTTTATACGTGCATACAACCTTGTTTACTTGGATCTGTCTCAACTCGCACACAAAGTTTTGTACATTATCGACAACATAAATGCCATAATGGCACAACACCATAACAGCAAAGTAGCTAAAACAACAGAGCAACACCGGTCAGGCACTTTATCTGGAGATGCTCTGCTGGATGGAGCAGAACTAGGTAAGGCTTTGTAACCAGAAAAATGAAGCCTGTGTCCCAAAAAGATGCTCGTGTTCAGTTTTATGCTGACAACTAACACTGCTAGTACCCAAAGACACATGCTGTGTAATGTTTGTCATGTTTGCAGCAAGCATCAGTGCCTTATTTGTGTAACAGAACTGGACATCAGAAGGATCCCATGGGAACATCCACTCTTTTCTCCAGAGATACATCACGTATTGCCAAGCCTCTACAACTTCAACTCCCAGCCAGGCCTCTTGTACCAGGGATGACACCTCTCAGCAACAAAGAGCAACATTGCCCAGTGCAAGTCAATTGAGCTGTGACAAGTTAAGCTGACAGTGTCACTTCCATGGGCTTCAGCCTCTTTTGGGCACCCATCACCATCACAAAGCCATCCAGCAGCATGAGAGAGTCCTCTGTCCCACTGAACATGGCTTGGGGCTGCTGCCTGCTCTGCTTCTGAGAGTGTGTGGGGAAACACAAAGCAGGGGACTTCATCTTCAGTGCAGAGAGAAGCCGGGTGTCTGGGGAGGATGAGCATTGCCAGGGGCCTGGTTTCTACCAGAAAGGTTGACCCTTCTGAGAATTATATATTTCCTTCTGACAGAAGAAACAGTGGTACTCTCCTGCTTTCAAAAATCCCTTTAAAATTTGTCAGAGATGGTAATAAGTGGTCTGCTTGCCTCCATGCTGCCTTGAAGTATATTATTACTTTGCATGGTATCTCCTTTTCTTCCTGAAATGCTAAATTTCCATCATTTGCCTCACTTAAAAAAACACATGGTTTTGTTCCTGTTCAAGATTTAACCACCTAAGAAATCCCCTGAGTAAGCAGTAGTGTCTCTGGCTCCCACAGCCAGTTGTGTTTGCAGACAGATCCTCTGACTTATCTGTAACTCCAAGATTCCTGTGACAGTAGTGTTTATGGTGCTACAGTATTGTTCTGAACAGTGATCATCCAAAAAAAGGGGAACCACCCTCAGAAGTAAACAGACCAAAAGGCAAGGCCAAACTCACAGACTGATAAAAGGTCAGATTTTGTATGTTCTTCAATCAACCTCAATTGTTTTATTGCCTCCTCTTCCCATATCGTCATCTCTCAAAACATCCCTTGTACAATAAGACTGATAGAAGGTACAGAAGAAATTCAGGCTTTGATTTGTTTACTATGTTCTGAAACGTTCTTGGTTTGGGGAAAATTGCTCACATTTTTCTTTTCTAAATTTCAATGTACCAGACGAAATTCTTCCCTTTGCTAGAAAAAAAGACACTTTAAAAAATCCACAAATTAGCTTTTGAAAAATATTTAAAATGAAAACCAGAGCTTTCACCTTCTGCTTACATTCTCTGCAGATCAATAATCCCGCTGGATTAAGAGCAAACAGGCAGCAGTCCTGCTTTTGTATCAGAGGAAAATGGAACTCAGTACATGATTTGGAGAGTTAAATGTCACAGCAATATCTTGCTAAAAAAAGGTCATTGGTGAGAGAGAAGAGGCCAGGATGAAGTTTTCAGGGATGCTCCATCCCTGAGAGTGTTCAAGGCCAGGCTGGATGAGGCTTGGAGCAACCTGGTCCAGTGGAAGGTGTCCCTGCCCATGGCAGGGGGGTTGGAACTGGATGGTCTTTAAGGTCCCTTCCAACCCAAACCAGTCTGTGATTCTATGTGTTCCTGCTAAGGAACAAACTGAGGACTGGCTCCTCCCCAAATAAAGAATGAAGAAGACACAATACAGAAACAGAAGATATGGAAAACACAGTACAGTTGAAAGAAATACAACAAACAAACAAAAAAAAACCACAGTAGCAGGGGAAAGACTGGTACCTGAGAGACTCTGGTGGCTTCTGCTAAGAACTTCTTCATTTCCTCTTCAGTGAATACTACATTCATCGCTGAGCCACTGTGAGAAGTGCAAAGGAAAGAGATCAGCTTCCCTCGTGGCTTTAAAGGAGATGGCAGCGTCAGACACCCCAGCACAGGGTTACCCACTACTTCTGTACGACAGACCAGCCAAGCAAGCTCCTGACTCAAGCCACTTGCTCCGCTCTTGACTGAAAGAAAGGCAGAGCTCATACCTAATAAACCTCCTTTATACTTTCTAAAGATAGGTGACCCCAGAATTGTAATGAAGAATCAAAGAACTGCCGTTGCGCAGCCTTATCACTGCTGCCAAATCCCCTTTCTGCCCTGAGCCTTTACGCTCCCCCTAAGCAGGAGATGGCTAGTCAGCCAGTGATGGTTGTGACACTGCCAACGCAGATGAAAACGGGCTCTTCTTTTCTGGCCACCAGCCCGCCAGCCCCACTGAGGACCCAGGTGTGCAGGTTAGCTGCGAGCTCAGGACAAAACGTGCTTTGCTCCCTCGCTCAGTGTCAGATGAAGCAAGGAATGTGCAGGCCCCTGGTGATGGCTGTGACACTGCCAACACAGAAGAAAACGGGCTCTTCTTTTCTGGCCATTTCAGTGTCCCTCTCCTAACGCCTTAGCCCTTAAGGGAGAGGCACAGCAGATACAGACACTGCATCTGAACACTACTTTGTAGTGTAGCTGTCAGTACTACCAGAGGGGGATCTGGGAGAGCATGGGTTGAGAGTCAGTGATTCAGGTCCCTTCTGAAGACAAGAATCTTTCCTAAAAGATGTTAGAGTGGTAGCTTCCCCCGTTGATGGTCAGCGTCCCCTCTGCTTCGGTGGGCAAGCACGCAGAGGCTGCAGGGAAACGTGAAGGAAGGATCTGTCCCACAAAATCGGTCGCTCTAGCCTAAGCTAAATAGACACAAGTACCTAGGTGATTTTACTTACCGGACTACCTCTGATGTAAATCAATAGAGTTCAATTAAATCCATGGACCTATGTCTGCTGCACCTTGGAGGATGTGAGCTGGTGCACACCGTACATAACTAGTGGGGAAATGCATTTCGCTTTCCAAGGCAACTGGCAAATATTAAAGGCTGGGTCTGTTCAAAGGTTGACGGAGTCTAGCTGTGGACCTGCTGCTGTTCTGCAAATAGAGGCCAGACAGGGTGCTGTGCTAGGGGTTTTCACTTTCTATTTCCTCAAGTTTTACGTCCTCCAGTGCCACGTTTCTCCCTGAAGTCCCCCTAACCTGTTCCAAACACTCTTTAGCAAATACTTACAATGAAAAGGGCCTAAACTGAATTTAATACGAAGGGAAACAGCAGGCTAAAAGTAGCGTTCCCTAAAAATCTGGAGAATTACATCAGAATGTAATGTAAGAATTCTCTTGATCTGGGTCCTGTTTTTTTACGTTTGCTTCACAGCCCCACTGCAAGCTTCAGAAATGGGATAGAAAAGTCACATTCAGCAGTCTCTTCCAAAGGATATTTTCTCAAGGGTTGAACACACAAGAAATCATTCTCCTTTTCTTTTTTTTTTTAAATAGATTACTTTTTTTCTCCCCTGAAAATGAATGCTGTGCCTCTTCATTCTGATATGCGTCTCTTTTTCATATGAAAAGGATCCCGCCTCCAATTTATCTTCACTTGTAAACTGTGCCCAGCAAAGTGCCTCTCTGTGCCTCGTCACCCAGCTATGAAGAAACGCCTCGCAGAGAACAGCGATCATTCAGAACGCGTGAGCTTGCTGTGTGCGCACGCTGGCGCAGCTTCTTCAAACCCTCGAGCTGTCGGAAATGTGTGGGTCTGTACAAGGTCTGTTTAAAGAGAAGCAGCTGCCGCAGCATTGGGCCATAAAACATGCCTTTAGGCAGAGAAGCTTAGCAAATAAGAAGCTGAATTCAAAAGACGTGCTGTCATTTTTTGAAAACAGATGCCAAGCCCGATAAATGGCCTCAGCACGTTCCCTTCTCTTTTTCCTGGTGGCAAACAATCTTCTGGCTTAATTGTACAGGTAGCAGTCTCAGGAAACTTCAGGAATATCCCAGATGGCTCCTACTTTCGTCCTTGAGACGTGAAGAAAGGAAGGCAGCTAAACAGGCTTTCTTATGATCACCTTTGACGTGTGCCTGATGGACAAAAGGGATCCATGGGCTTCCTTTACTGGTTTGAGCAGTTGTCCCACCTGTTAAGACGGGCAGCTTCATGCCACACGCACCTAGCCTAGTGTTTGCCACACACACCCTGAAATCACTCTCCGTTGTCTCAAAGAGGCTTTTGTAGTCCACACCCCCGACCTGATGAGCTGTGGTGGCTGAGCCTTACCTCAGAACATAGGAAGGCCTCAGCAAACACGGGTAACTCACAGAGCTTGCAAATTCAACGGCATCTTTCTAAAGAAAGGGAGGAAAAACACGCTGTGAACAAGAAAACATTTTTAAGTCCTACCAAAGTTTCAATTCTAACTGCCTTTGCGCTTTACTAACCGTTAAGATTGGATGAAGGAGGAGAGGGGGAGAGTATTTTCCTGGGTGTATACTCCATGTTGTGTAAAGGTGATTTAAAGACATTTCCTTTCCAGTTTCCATCCCACACCCAGTGATGCTACAGCATCACTTTACAGGGATCAAAAAGTTCCTCAAAACTGGCAGTAAAAACCTGTCCAATGCCTAAGGAATCTTGAAATGTATCAGTAAGGCCTTCCCTCACAGAGCAGATGTTCATAACAACCCTGAGCTGCTTCATTTCCCAGATGCATATCCCAACTTACCAGGGTGCTGACAGCCTTCCAAGGAGCCTGGGCCACACGCAGCTCATCCAAAACGGCTGAGAATACGGCACGATCTTCTGCCTGGCCAATCTGCAAAGGATTTGTGCCAAGGATCTTCACTCCCCTCTGGTGCAGTGGCACTGCCAAATTATTGGGAATCTGCCCGCCTACAGAAATAATGCAACCACTGCATCCCTGTTGGCAGAGAGAAAGGAGCACAGTCATGTCCAAGTTAGCTTAATGTTAAGAGCTGTTATAACAAGGAATCCAACATTCAGATTACATCACTTTTCAGGTTGCTATGGGCAAAGGCAGATCATAAATTGTGCTGACCCAGAGGCACTCAGGCTGCAAAGTATGAGTCAGAGTGTGCAGCCTCTCTAACCCAGCAGTATCTTCATAGAATCATCACAGACTGGTTTGGGTTGGAAGGGACCTTAAAGATCCAGTTCCAACCCCCCTGCCATGGGCAAGGACACCTTCCACTAGACCAGGTTGCTCAAAGCCTCATCCAGCCTGGTCTTGAACACTTCCAGGGATGGGGCATCCACAGCTTCTCTGGGCAGAGAATCTCTTCCTTGGTGTCTCTCAACAGACAGCAGTACCTTGAGGTCAAATTCCCCAGAAACCAAAGAAATCTGCAGTGTTCACATGCCTTCTGACATCAAGCCAAGATTTTAGCTTCTGCTAGAAGCACAGACTGTTACCCTGTTTTCATGCCATGTTTAGGTGCTTCTGCTTTCCCGGCGAGGATAAGCACTGAGCTGACACACGCTCCTTTCCTTTGCAGAGGAAGGGCACTGCACTATGAAAACATCACGCCCTCACACCAAAACTCAAAACTTCACTTGGTGGGGTCAGGTATCCTCCCGTGTTCTTCTACACACGTGGAGCTGGGCACCAGCACTTCCACCACGCCCACTCCCCTTGCCTTTGGACACAGCAGCGTGAACAGACCACGTGTTTTGGGTGCCCTTTCTTTCTCAGTTCAGCTCTTCCAAGAAAACAGCCTTCCCATGCTCACGGTCAGAGACTGCCAGAGTAGCAGACATTCACACTAACTCTTGTGTACTACAGAGTTGCAAGGCAGTAACCCTCAGCAAAGAGACAATAGGAAACAACTGGGGTTTTGTTGTTGTTGTTATTTGCTAAGCAAAGACCCTTTCCTAGCCCCAGATGCCAGCCCTGACGGAACGCTCCCTGCTGACCCCTTGCTGGCCTGTACAAAGCAGAGTCTAGTTCAACAGAGCCCAATCCATCAGACAGCCTGTGGTGGTGAAACACTCCAGATACGCTTAGCCCTGTGTTTTAATTCCTCCTCACTATTCCTGACTATCTCCTCATTTCTGGTAGTGCACTCAATAGTAACACGTATTTCACCCGAACTGTCGTATACGCTCATTTCTATGCAGGTTATTTGCAAACACCTCACTGCCAGAAGCAGAGGAGGCAGGACAGGCAGCCCAGCACCCTCCAGCTACAATGGCATCTTTCATGTTCTCCAATGGGCGACCACAACGTTGTAAGTGAGGAAATAATAAACAGCAAATAACCGGAGACAGACGAAGTCGCTTGCAAACACACATCCTTCTTCACGTGCAAATATGGGCTTTGTTTTCTTTTCACATAGAACCCCTAATGCTTTCAAGTACAATCTAGTCTAGTGTGAAGTTTTTCAATTGTAGAAAAAGGCCGTAGAGTACCTGCAACAGTTATGAGGACGTGAAGATTGATTGTTTAGATTGTGTAATAACTGAAGATAGTTAAATAATGGACACTTTACTTCCAAATTAAAGCTGGTGAGACTTTGCCCAAAGGAGAATCAGGCCCACAGAAGAGCTGCAGTGAAGGGCTCTTCTGAAGCAAATGGGTTTTACCCACCTCTAACAAATGAGAAACATAAATCAAGAGATCCGTGGTTTGGCTCTATCTTTCTGAGTATCAATGTTCTTTTAATTAACAAGTGTCTTTTTCCTGAAGAAGGTTAGCCCCACTGGCCTTCCTGGAAGAGGAACTTCTTAATGAGGGATTCAAAGGGATTTAGAGTGGCAGATCTGTTAGCTGAGAGCAGGATGGACTAGAAATGATTGAGGAAAAAGCAGATGATAAATGCCAGTACAAACCCTGCTCAACTTCAATGTGGTTAATCTCCTATCATAATAAAAAGCCACTAAAAAAAGCCTGGCATTGAGCGAGTGGCCGAGCAGTGCTTAGTTGCCAGCTGGGGTTAAACCACGACAGGCGTTTAAGCAGCCCTTATTATCCCAAGGTCTAAAAGATTATTATTTGCTGCTAATATACAGTGTTGGAGACAATTTTTTTCCCTTTCCCCATGCAGTCACTTATGGGGTGACGTGCTGGCCAACAGCAACTCTCTGAAAGAGCTTAGGACAGGGAGTGAAAAATGCCTCATTACTAGAGTGGAGCAAGGACAGAGGCTGTTTTGTGCCTGCATGGGTTTGTCTCATGACATCGGAGCTTGCCGTCTCCAACTCAGAAGAAAAATCTGTTCCTTACTGCTTCCAGACTCATGCAAAATACAGTATTTATCTCTAGTCCCCAGACCCCTTATCATCCCACACGGACAAGAACCAGGCGGTGAATAACACAAACCCCTCCTGCAGCTTGGAATGGTTCGTGTTTGATAACAGGTCAACCTAGCTGTGCTGCCAAGGTCAACCAACACCTTAGTCTACCCTCATGGTATCTGAAATGCGAATGTCCCAGCTAACGGCTTCTCCTTGGTTGCCACTTATTCCTTCCTTCAAAACAATTCTACTCACAGAGCCTCTATGTCCCACATACCTCCTGCGTCAAAGTTAGGATGGGGTGAGGAACTCCAGCCCCAAGGAGCCACAGGAGATGGCTTCTTCAAGCAGATAGCCAGAATCATATACTCGCTTTTACTCAGAAAGAACCATAAATTGAGACCCAGCTGCAGCAGCCTTCTTCCTTTACAATTCCTGTTACTTCCCAAAGCGTGCTCTGGCCCCAGGAGCAGCCCGCTGCCCCACTGGGAAACGGCAGCAGATAGAAATAGACCCCACTGCATATCACTTTGTCATCAGCCATATTTTAACTACAAAGAAAATTAATAACATCCTTGCCACTAGACATCTCCAAAATACACTCTATACATAATCTAGTGAAAGAAGCCTAGAAAGAATTATTTTCTCCTTTATAACGAAAATCACTATTTTTATTACTACCTTGCTTTTATGTCATTAGAAAGAGAGTTGGGTTTTCTTTTTTCCTGAGTTTGAAAACAAATTAGACCATTAAAATTGTACCTAAGAGCCTCCTTTAGTTTTATGAATTGTCTCAAAATGATCCTAGAAACTGAAAAAGAATCAGAAGAGGCCCTCAAGCAGATAGATATTAAAAGAGAAAGGGAACATCTTCTCTGGAAACAAAAAGCCAATAAATTTGAGGGAAGGATTTTTACTATTTTTAATTATTGTCCTCATAGACTACCCCCTAACTTTGCGCATTCACAGTAAATTAAACTTCCCTCCGATGCAAAGCTCCGTTGTGCAGAGCTCAGTCTCTGGTGAGCAGCTGTGAATGTCGACTGGAGAGGGAAAAGGGGGCAGAAGGGAGCGAAAGAGGAGGGAGGGCTGAGCACGTCCCTGTGAGAAAACTGTGGAAAGCTGTGAGCAGCTCTTGGTAGGCAGGTTGCAGTCCCCTCAGGCTCACTGGTAACCTCGCCCCCCAACATTGCCCGACTTGTCTCATCCAAAAACCTGGGACTAGTCAGTGCCCCTGTTTATTGGTGCTTAATAGCTGCCCAAGGTTTGCTGCTAATCCTAACAACATCTGGGGGGTTGATGTACCATCTCTACTGAGATCAAAGGGCTGTTTGCTGATGGTTTTACCTACGGTTCGCCCATAGTCCAGGACTTTGTGAGGTATCTGCTGCTGTTGATTGTACATTGGAACACTAGAGGAGGCTAACGAGCAGGAGAGTTTAAAAGATGGGTCCAAAATCATGGCGCTATCCTTGCTTTGTATATGAAGATGGTTATCTGCAGGATTGGGGAGTGATTTCAGATCCTGAATATTTAACTTCATAGTTTCCTTAGGGATTGACTTACAACTGCATTTGCCTGAGGAAGTATTCTGTTAACAGGATATTAGCATTTGGCTCACTGGTTTTTTTTAAAAAATGGCACATAGCAAATAGTGTATTTTAGACTAGACTCTGCTGGAGGCCTGGAGCCTGTCCCCAGGTCTGCCTAGGCCCTTCTGCGTGACTCTCTGCAGCCTCTCTACTCCTCAGTTGGAAGGGCTCCCTACTTGCAAATTAGGCCTAATGATACCATTTCCTTTTGTCACTACTTAAGAAAAGTGCTCTGAAACAGCTGAGTATTTATTATTCATCTCAGGATTTAGTAGACAGCACAACCCTAACTTGGGAGGTTTAGGCTCAGGGCTTGACAACTTTCACACCTCCAGAGCAAACATCAAATAGGTTGTTTTCATACCCAAGTCAGAGGAGCAAAATCCTCTGCAAACGCCCAGCATCTCTCTTCTCCCCCTTTTTATTTCCACCACCTCAGCTCCTGCTTCCGCCTCCCTGCCCTCTCTCCTCTCACAATCACTTTTTCACAGAACCACAAAATGGTTTGGGTTGGAAGGGCCCCTAAAGACCATCTAGTTCCAACCCCCCTGCCATGGGCAGGGACACCCTCCACCAGACCAGGTTGCTCCAAGCCTCATCCAGCCTGGCCTTGGACACTTCCAGGGATGGGGCATCCACAGCTTCTCTGGGCAACTTGTTCCAGTGCCTCACCACCCTCTCCGGGAAGAATTCTTCCTTATATCTAAGCACCTTTGAAAGCTTCAGCTACAAATCCAAGATGACTGTGTTACCTGTTAGAAATCAACATTTTCCATACTGGGACCAAGTGTTTACATTATCTATCTTCTCATTCCCAAATCTGTCTGGGATTCTCCATTTCTTAGGATCAGCACTTCTGAGGTCTTCAAAACCCCAGACAGACAAGTGCACTGTCTGGATCCAGAGCTGGGGCATGTTTTGGTTTGATGGCAATTCCATTGCCCCTTCCTGACCTGCCCGCCAGCCTGCCGGATCATATCCGCCACACTGGAATACAGTGGCAAAGCCAAGGCTGCAAGTTCCGGAGCACATGTTAGTGTTATGTATGTAAGTTGTTCTACTGCTTCAGGGGGAGTACTTGTGCTTAAAGTCAAGGATATGCTTAAGTGCTAAAGCTCAGCACCACAAGGGCAGAACAATTTGTGCGATAAATGACTGTGCAGCAAATTAAATCTGCTTGTAAATATTGCACAATATGGCATCTTGCAAAATAATTTAATATTTATTTGGCATTCATTATTGAGCAGTCTGCTAGGAACATCAACGATGTGTAAAATGCAACATTGGGATCCAAACCAAACAGCTTTTGCTAGCAAGCTCTCCCCCCTCGCCCCCAGCTGCTCTGCCAAAGCAAGCTAGTGACATGAATTTTGAAAAGTTTGGTTTGCTTCGTGGCTTTTTACTGTGCTTCTGCTTTTCTTTACCTCATATTGGTAGATGTCCAGGATCCTTTCCAATGACAGCTCCTCAAAGTACAGTCTGTCACACTCATCAAAATCTGTGCTCACTGTCTCCGGGTTGCAATTCACTACAACGGTCTTGTTGCCAAGCTGACGCAGCGTGCGGATACTGGAGACAGCACACCAATCAAACTCCACGCTGCTGCCTGCCAGGAGACAGAAAAGTGGGTAAGGAAAGGAAGGATGCAGAGAAGAAAACATAAACAGACGTTCTCAGCACTCAAGCTTAAAAAAGAAGAAGAAAAAAACCAAACCAGCATTGCCTCCTGTCAGCTCAGAGCACGAAATCTCATTGTCCTCCCATGGAAGCTAATCATCCCCAAGTGGGTGCCTCCTAGCACAACAGGTAAGTTGGCTCAGCTGCTGAGGAGTGACAGGCCTCTACCACATCTGTCATCCCAGGCACAGAAACACTCGTGTCAGCTCCTGCTGCCCATCCAGCCTCCAAACCAACGCGCTTTGAGGTCATCGTAAGAGGCAGAAGCGCAGAAGTGACCAGATTGAGTACCCATTATCAGAAGACAGCGCTGTTGACTCCCAGAAACACAAAGCATTTGTACAGAGATGGTTGAAAAAAACAGAAGACTGAAGTGTTTTTTATCTTCCAGAAGAGCAGAGGATGGCTAACTTAATAACAGAAAAATTACAGCTCAGTGGGTTTGACCTTCCTGTGTGCTGACTCTAAGGCAAATCGGCAGAACAACACTTTTAGAGCTGCTCTGTGACCCTTTTATCCTTGTTTAAAGGCAACACTGTGGAGCAAGCACACTGTAGTGCCCTAAGCGAGCACCATGGCTACCTCTAAAGGCAAGAGGCACAGAGTCACCTGGTGCTTGGGTGAGCACCACAACTGGGTGCTAGGTCTTGGGCAAGCTGCAGGACTTGGGACTCATGCAACGCCAGAGGCTTCAGGCAATGCTGGAGTCCAGACTTGCTCTAACAGCTACTGTCCCATAAATTTCTATGCTCAAACATCTAATAGGGGTACCATAAACAGAGAATGATGCATACTAAAAAACATCATTAAATGGTTATGCCTAGTCTACAAAAAAACCTTGGCCTCATCATGATGTGTTCACAGTCATTACATGATCGTTAACCACTGATATCATTATTTTTATATATAATTGTGCGCCAAGATACATTGGAAATTCAGGCTGTGCTTAATTGCTGCCTCCACCACCTAGTCACAAACAGCTGGCTGTCACAGGTCACTCGCTGACAGGCACACAAGTTATTTCCCTCCTTCTGTCAACCTCAAAACATGCTTCAAAACCCCACAGAAAAGAGAGGGAAATCAAATCTGAAACTGGATGTTTCCCAGCAGGGTCACCAGATGCTCGTTCACTTCTTGTGTTCCACGTCCATTGTTCAGGTACCCTTATACATATAAGAAACCTTAGCTTTGGGACACAGCAGTCAGCTGGAGTCCCCATCTGACTTCTTTAGAGACAACCTGGGAAAAGAGCTGAAGCATACTCCAGCCACATCCAGTAACGGTCCTGTCCAAGGAGTGGGAAAAGGGAGGACAGTGAATAATTGGTGGTACTAGTAATGACTGTTGTAACATAAGCAGACACCACTCCTCTGAAGATAATTCCTACATTAACGCAGGCATGGTTTTGAACTCATGGTCAGGTTTTAACCGTGGTAGATCTACATGCACACCTACAGAACACTGCTGGCCGGTGCAGTTGGTGGAAGAGCTCGTTTATACTGCTTTCAGGGCTGACCTTCCCACAACCAACCAACCCTCGTCCAAGGAGTGGGAAAAGGGAAGACAGCAAATAATATTAATATAATATTATTATAATATTACTGTTGTAATATAAGCAGACACCACTCCTCGGAAGATAATTCCTACATCAGTGCAGGCGTGGTTTTGAACTCACGGTCAGGTTTTAGCCGTGGTAGATCTACATGCACACCTTACAACCTACAGAACATTGCTGGCTGGGGCAGTTGGTGGAATAGTCCATTTATACTGCTTTCAGGGCTGACCTTCCCACAACCAACCCGCCCTCCCAGGACAGGAGATACCCTCCTGGCAGCAAGCATTGCCTGGAACATCTGAGGAACAGCCCCACAGTCACACGCCGCAGCTCAGGCTCTCAGTGAGCCAGAGGCCATACGTGTGGGTGTGTGCAACTGCATCAATTCATATGTTTCTATTTGGCATATTAGTTAACAAGAAAACTTAAAAAAATTAAAAAAGACACTTCAGTTTGAATAAATGTTTTTTCTCAATACAAAACATAGCATGACTTTTTAAATGAGCTCACACTTACCCCAAATAATTGTATTTCTTTGTAAAAGTGTCAACATATTCAAGATTTCCCTGTAATATACTTCAAAATATTTTCAAATAAAATTCATAAGGTTGTTTTTTGGTTTTTTTAAATCTAAAACTTACTTTTCACAAAGGAAATAAGATTCTTATTTAAGAAATAAAAAAGTAACCTCACATGTTTAATTTCCATCCCAATGATTTAGCCCTTTCTGACCAGTTCCTGTTTTGTAAATGTCAGTCCCTGGGGAACACTAAGTTGATCCCACTGAATTATGATTACAGTTCTGAAAGCACAGAGGTACAGCACACTGCCTTCAGAGGATAACAAAAGGCAAAAAAATCAACTTGGCTATTGTATCTAGAAGAAAAATCTTTTGGAGGCGCAAGGAATGGTTTCCTGTAGCAGCCTTTATTTAGTTACAACCTCCTCCAAAGATTGTCTTGACCTAATCAAAGCCACAGAACAGGTAAGGCCAAGATCAGACCTGTATGGCTAATCTAAGCAATTGGGAGTTTTAGGTGAACAGGGCAAAATATCTTCACACACATTCGATGAAACTACTGAACAACAATGTGGTTCTCTCCTGCTTGTTTTTTGTAACCATGCTACACCGCACGCTGACTGGCAGAAGCGTTCACAAAAAAAATAACCGTAATCACGGAGCGTTCCTCCTGATTTCACTCATCTCAACACTCACGCTGGAAACTGAGTTCAAAGAGACACATCCTACAGACGGCAAGAGGAGTGTGGCACGTGACCCGTCCATCCAAGCAAAACAAATGGATGCAGTTTTAAACCTCAGCTATCAAAACCCATCCCCACTACTTGCGAGATGCAGAGCAAAATTATTTCTGAATAACAAGCTGTTTTTTTCTCGTCAAGAACTGCAAGCTACATGGAAGGATCCATGAATAGAAAAAGTGAAAGTCATCATACACAGAATCCAGCAGTCTGTCTATCCCATGTTCACAGCCCGGAGGAAACTCTTATGCTGCATAACTGAGTGGGCTGAAAAACCAGCATACAGAGAATTGCTTACACAAAAGCAGCAGAAGACATCAAAAGGCTTCCATAGTCACCTACACTTACAGTAGTAAAACGCACTGTATGTACCAACACAGCCATGAGCTGGCAGTAAAGCAACAAGCTCCTATACAAGGTATCATGTTCTCAAGACCTTTACGTGTGCAAAAAGTAAGCCTAAAAAAAGTCTCTAAAAACTTGGTGGAAGTCACAACTAAGTGACAAGTGAAAAAGGAATAAAATTCTCTTCTTTTCTCCAGGGCATGAAACGAGCTCTCCAAGCAAGTGTAAAAGGCAAACCTTGTGTTAGGAATTGATGTCTTGTGCACTGTGCTCTGGAGGCTTTTGTCACCGTATGAGAAGAAGAACAAATGAACCACAAGAATATCCAAAGAAGGCTCGAGGGTGCAAGGAGAACAGAGGAGTTGTAAGAAAGATTTACCTATGTGATATGGTCCACAGCCCAACACCATCACTCCACAGTCATCAAATTTTACATCGTGTTCCTGAGAAGGCAGGGAGAAAAATCATTAGGATCTGGACTCCGCAGCACTTAACTCCGTGCTTTTCAGGATAAACAGTTTCTGGTGCTCAGCCTATATCCAACAGTGCGATCCTTCCGGGCTCAAGTCTGAGCTTGTTTACTGCAGTGTAAATCAAGTGAAACTCTACTGGAATTAGTGGTGCTGCACCCAAACCAAAGGAGACCCAGCACCTCTGGTCTGACTATCGAGCAGCCTAAGGTGCTGTTAAGCTTCACCTAAAAATGAATGCTAGGGTGAGATGAGTGAAGCAGGAGTTCTGCATTCCCGGCACCGACCTGTGCACAGAGGATGCAAGCACAGGTGAGAGAGGATCGTAACAACACAGGGGCACTCACACTAAATGCACAGGATCAGTATTTGAGCAAGAGAAAGTTCCAGGCTTGCTGCAAGGGCATCATATGTAACACCATCCAAAATAATTGCTACAGAGACAGAGACATCTGCAAGATGCCCAGAAATAACGCAGCGTAGGGGAAAGAGATCAGACTAGACAGCAATGAGACTGTTGTTTCCAAATGTGCCTACCTGCCCGTTGTACGTGATGTAGAGGTAATTAGTCACCGCTGGGTATTCTGCTGCCAGTGTGTCAATCTGTATGGGGAAGAAGAGGAGGGATTGTGACTTGGCCAGTGCAAGATTTGTTCCTACATGCAGGTGTTTGGGGTTTTTTCTTCTCCTTCTTTCCTTTTCTACTCCTACTCTGCCCTATTATTTTCCCATCATGTCTTTCCTCAGAAGAAGGTGATCTGAACTGCCATAGGATGGCAATGCAGCATATACCTGGACTTCCCCCAGACCTTCCTGTTCAGTCAACAGGAGACTCTACCACCTTTCTAAGCTGCAGATTTAGCTCCACACCTCTTTCGTAAAACACCTTCACAGCCCAGGAACATTTCCCATCCACCTCTTCTCGCTGAAGCCCTCATTCTCTAGTTAGTCTGGCAGCATTAATTACACGGATCTCCATTCCTCCGGATCTCCTGTCCTTTTTAGCTGCGCTGTCCGGGATCTTCACGCTATAGGCTTGACCCCACGTTGCTCCCACACTGAATACAAACACACACACAGTACCCCTCTGAGGTCATGCCAAGTAGCAGCCAGCAGCACATGTACTGCATATTTATGTCACAGCATACCTTGCGCTTTGATAATTAACGGTACACAAACCAAGAGCAATTGTCAACCACCCCTTGTATGTAGTTTTCAACAATTTCTTATGTAATTAGTTAAGAGAGAGCCCAGAAGAATAATTTGCCTACTAGGCTGTTCACAAACTATGTGTCAACTCCTCATGGCACATTAGACATGGTAACTAGTCCACCTAGGTCACCAGCGACTGCTGAAGTTCCCTGAATGAACAGTTGAAGCATTTCTACACAGAGTACTGAACAAGGAACAAAATTAAAGCTGTCCTGACATGAATTTTTACATGCTACACCACTTAAAAACCTGTCCAATCTTCAAGTATTTTCAGGAATCCCCACCGGCTGCCCAAATCCTTGTGAATAATGAAGAATGTGACTTATGTAAGTGCCTGCTGCTCATTACTGTCGCTAATGCTGCAACTTGTACTTCACGGCTCAAGAAGAAACATATGCTTCGAAGGCACAAACGCAGGCATAAGCAGAATGACCTTACTAGGGGTACCTTGGCACACAAATCAATCCAGCACCGCAGTGCCATATGCTGCTGAAAGAACGCGGTGCAAGACCAGGCACATTTCCGTGGGCCAGGTGAGGGCACGGAAGGAAAACAGCAGCTGGGGAACAGAAGGAGATTTGGCACCTGGAATTGGGCCTGAGGATACAGATGGGCTCTTTCAGAAACATTCAGTAGTTTGGGTTGGGTGGGTTTTTTTTTTCCCTTTAAGGACAAAAACCAGCTGGTGGCAGTTTAATACCAACACACCTTAAAGGCAGCAGCAGAACACCTAGCAAAGCACTGGTGACACTGCCATGAATACTAGATGAGCTCATTACGCTCCTGCTGTCACAATGAATAGCAAATGAACCCGTAACAATAGCAGACTTCAAATAAAGTATTGCCCTGTAAAAAGTTACTACCAAGAGAAAAGACATGTTACTCTTCTCATGGTTACACCATGGTGGGCCAGCATTCACCGCCTTTTCCTGGAGCCAGAGAGCTGTGTTTCTCCCTCAGCCACACAGAATATGAACGTGAATATTCTGAGTCTCTCCCTGGGGATTTTCATGTCCTTACCTTGATGCCTGCAGTGCAGAAGTAACAGCTTCATGGGTGAAATCTGTTCTCCTCTACTGTCAATGTGAAAACTCCCATGGATGTTAACAGAGCCAGGGGTTCCACTGGGTTTACCTCAGCTGTTTCTAAGGACATGGAGGTCTGTCTCCTGCTCCTTGCACCCTCAGAAATCCCCACCACGAAGAGCAATGCTTGTCACGTACCTGTTTCACCCAGGGCACAATATTCTTCCTCAGTCTCAGTTGATGGGACTGGACTTCAGTCAGCCTCAGGCATTTCCCAATCTGTCTGTCTGAGAACCCGATCTGTTTGGCTCTCCTCAACGTCTCTTCTGGAACAGTTTCACTGGAATTAAATAAGAAAAACACCTCTGCATGAGTTTTTACAGAAATACTTAGAAGATACATAAGTGTTTGTGCCTTCCACGCCACACAGAGTTGCTATAGGATCATGCACATAAAGGCAAGAAGAGGAAGAGGACCCAGCTGAGCTACGCAATCCTCATACCTAAAAGATCTATTTGCACTGGATGCCCCCCAAAAATATGTCCACAGGCAGACTGCTGACGTTAGGAAATGAAACACTTTCTTCCCTTGCATTTTGGGGACAGGAATGAGTGACTCATGACGAGGCCCATCACCTCCCAGGCAGCATTCTCCACCAGCCTACTACAAGGTCACCGTATCCAAAACTGCATGGTCATTTACCATTACAGCACCCACGGGGTGGAGCAATTCCTTTCTTGGATTCAGTATCCTCACAGCAGCCCACTCCACAGAAAGGCATGAAATTCCTGAAGCTGTGAGATGAACCACTCAGGCATAACTGTCCCCCAACCCTGCTGAGCTGGGGGACAGCTTCCCTCAAAACACTACAATTTGCCCCAAACCAGACCTCCTTTCTATTGTTGGGGATGCTCAGTCTGCCTTCAGAAATGGCCAGTCTTTTGCAAAAGCACCTGAATTCAGAGATTTGTAGTAGGAATGACCTTCAGAGGCTCACACACAAGATAGGTTTTTCCTTCTGACAGTCTCAAGTATACTTTTTTTGGGATCTTTTGTGCTGCTCCTTGCATTATGAAAACAGGGAGAGAGGGATAGACAGGGCAAAGCAAGCAGGGGCACCTTCTTTGATTTCATGTTTGCCATCAGGGTCTCTCAATACTTCCATATGTTCTTGTCTCCTCGTTTTGTTATACAGGAGACCTAATTTTTGCTGTTTATTCCAAATGCGTTGCTCTCCCCAGCCACCTCTGCAGCTCAACTTTCTTGCCCATTTTGCTTTTGATTTTTTAATTTTCTCCATTCCCCCTTTATTCCCTCCACTTCTTGCTCTCGCACACTATTTTTCTTCCACTTTGGTTTGACTCCACCTATAGCCCTTATAGTTTCTGCCTGTCTCTGTTTCTAAGCTACCTTTTCCAAGCTTAGCTTTTGCAAAAACATAAAAATGCCTATGTATTTTTATCAGCACTTCTGCTTTTCATCTTCATTGCCAAGAGCATCCTTGCCTACCCAATAAATCAATATTTTATGAGGAAGCAAGCTCTGAATCAGGAAAAAGGAAATGATTAACAAACAAGCAATTTTCCTAAATCAGAGCTTTTGAATTACGTTCTTTGCTTGATGGTATTTTTAAATAAATAGCATTATGTTATCTGAGTGGGAGGAGAGGGGTAAGGCCACTTTATTGGAATGTGTCAGGAAGCTAAAGCATGAAAGAGAGACAGTGGATTGGATTTTCCACTCTGGCTTAGGCAGCCCTGCTGCCTCGGTGAATTCAGGTTGGCATCAAACACGCGAGAGTCACAGAAGTGTCAACCCAGCAGTTCTGAGAGCAGACCTGGGTACCAGACACCCCTGGGTGCAGGTCCCCGCGTAGATGGGTTTTCCCCTATGAATTCCCCAGTGGCACTTCTCCTTCCCCCACGTTGTGAGAACAGGGTGCTCCACCTGCCTACAGCAGCACAGCTGGCAGACAGGGAGGGTGTGCAGAAAGGAAACGCTGGCTGCAACTGCTGTCCCCGGTGCCATGTCCCAGCCCACTGGCTGCAACTGCTGTCCCCCACGCCATGTCCCAGCCCAGCTCCAACCACCAGCGGGCTCTGCCCTCGGGCACGAGTACCATTGACACACTTCATCTTATCATAGAACCATAGAATGGTTAGGGTTGGAAGGGACCTTAAAGATCATCTAGTTCCACCCCCCCTGCCATGGGCAGGGACGCCTTGCACTAGACCAGGTTGCTCAAAGCCACATCCAGCCTGGCCTTGAAGACATCCAGGGATGGGGCATCCACAACATCTCTTGGCAACCTGTTCCAGTGCCTCACCGCCCTCTCTGTGAAGAATTTCTTCCTGATATCTAATCTAACCCTCCCTGATTTCAATTTGTACCCATTCCCCCTTGTCCTATCACTACAGGCCCTTGTAAAAAGTCCTCTCCCAGCACCCTTGTAGGCCCCCTTCAGATACTGGACAGCTGCAATGAGGTCTCCTCGGAGCCTCCCCTTCTCCAGGCTGAACAAGCCCAGTTCTCGCAGCCTTTCGTCATAGGAGAGGTGCTCCAGCCCTCTGATCATCTTCGTGGCCTCCTCTGGACTCGCTCCAAGTGGTCAATATCCTTCTGATATTGAGGGCTCCACAGCTGGATGCAGCACTCCAGGTGGGGTCTCACCAGAGCAGAGTACAGGGGCAGAATCACCTCCCTCAACCAAATCCCTCGATCTTCCCCACGACCCTCCACCAAATCACCCTCCTTACTCCAGCAGACTCTTTGCTTGTGTCAGAAGGAAACAGTCCTGCCTAATTCAGCAGGTTGAGCTTCCCAGGGTTTGGATTTAGCTCTGGATGTGGAAAGTCTTCCCACTTCGCAGCACCGCGGTATGTGAAAGCCCGCGGTTCCCACGCGCTAACGCCTCCACCACAGAACTGCTCTGCTTCTCTTCGGCCCTCGCGGCGCGGGGGCAGGACTTCCTGCACAAACCGTGAACGCCAGAGCTGAAGGCACGGATGGGTGTCTACAGGAGGAAGCACAGCAAGCAAAACCTGCCGATTCTCCGGCAAAACAGATGCTAGGTGTTACGAAGAACGCAGCCATGTTAGATTTCTCTCCCAGATTCAGCATTCCCTAAGTACGAGCGAGCAGACCAAATGACCCCCAAGAAAATGAGCCCGTTTCAGTGCAGCTTACTCCCTTGCTCTCCCTCCCTCCAGCCTCGGAGACACACCTAGCTGGCTGTCATTTGGTTACTGACAGAGAAAGAAAATTGCCTTCACTTGCTGCTTGTTTGAATTCAAGTTTTTGTATCTCATTATAACAATATCAGTCATTGCCCCCCCCCCCCCCCCCCCC